CCCCAAAACCCCAAAACCCCAAAACCCCAAAACCCCGTTTGTGTAGAAATTTTGTAAAATTTGTAATAAGAATGAGTAATAAAATTAGAGCTATTGAAATTATAAATAATATTAAGAGCTGCAAGTAAAAGGTAATACAATTAATTTAAATTAAATAAAGCCTTAGTTTAGTTGCGTGTTGTTCATTTTAATGGAAGGTTATCTCTATAAAAAAGATGGTTTCTTCTCTGGGTGGGTTTAGTATTACTTTATTCTGCATGAAGATACATTGATATATCTGGATAAATAAGGAGGTAAGCCTCAAGGCTCGATTCACATGAAGATCTCCAAGATCTCAGGAGATCAAAAAGATCGTTTGTTGATATTGATTTTTAATGGAACTAATGAGATTTACTTAAGGGCCAATTCGATAAAAGAGAAAGTTGAGTGGACTAATGCTCTTGTCAATTGTTAGAAATAGTGTCTAGAGGGAAGATATGATCAGTTCAAATAAAAGAAATCTTCAAATAAAGGAAGCAAATAAGCTAGTCCATTTAAAGACGCAGATCATGATAGCTAATCAGAGTCAAACGGCGATAATAATACAAGAGCAAGTAAGGCAAATGGTTTTGGTACAAACTGGTATGAACAGCTAAATCTTTAATTCTGCTCTAAAATGTTTAAAGCAGATGGCCCTTTCTTTATGAGACTAGGTTAGATTTGGGAGCTTGAAGCTTAGGTTGAAGAGATTGTTAGTTTAATTATACCTGAGGCCAATAGAACAAAGAATCCATTAATCCGAGATTATGCCTTAAAAATTTCGCAAGCAAGTGAATTAATCAAGGTAAAGATTATTGCATTCAATAACTTGTATAGGAAAAAATGACTGAGTGTGTCTAGGAGATGGAGGAGACAAGAAAAGAAATGTTTAAAGTAGCTAAGACAATAGTGAAAATGAAGGATGAATTCCTGACTGGAAAAGTAAGCTTAGGTGGAATTCACTAAAACAATCAAAGGAAAGGTTCAAGTAATTCAAACTAGTCATCCCCAACCAAAACTTATGCCAATCATTACAATGTATCTGCGAACTCTCCAATTAAATTGATTAACGAATAGTTGAATAGTAATAGTAACTAAAATCAACTCTACGAAAATTATTAGAATGGAAGAAATGATAATCATTACTATTAAGGTAGTCATTTTTAAGATGATAGAAATGGCTATACTACATAAGGTGGAGGTATTAATGGGACTATGAGTTTAATTTAAACCTAAAAAGTTGCAGGATCTCTTCTGACACATGAAAATTACTAGAATAATCATGTATTTGGTAGTGCAAATAAAGCACAGAGAACAAGTTAGCTCAATCAACTATTTGAGGAAGAAAAGAATTAGCATCAAATGATCTAATAGTAGAATACAAATTTTGCGGTCCCCCGTAATCTTATGAATAGTCTTGAGAAAGGATTAGTGATGGGTTATGGAGGTATTCCCATTTCTTATACAATGAAAACGAGAGATAAACTACCAGCCTTAACTCCTGAGAATCAAAGTTTCAGTATTTGGGCTATATTAAAATCTGCAATAGGAAAAGATCTGGGCAAAGTAACAATGCCTATCTGGCTTAACGAGCCAATATCAATGCTTTAGAAAATCTCTGAGTTAATGCATTACCATGAGATAATGGATAAAGCTATGACATTTTAGGATGATTGCAAAAAGTTAGGGTATATTTCAATGTTCTTGATGACCCAATATTCTGATGTCTATAAAAGAACTAGAAAGCCTTTTAATCCTATTCTAGGAGAGACTTATGAGCTTATCTAGCCTAATTATAGATTTTTTTGTGAATAAGTATCTCATCACCCTCCCATATCAGCATTTTATGCTGAAGGAAAAGGCTATTATACATACGGAAACACAAATGTAAAAAATTCCTTTAAAGCTACATCTCTTGAGTTTAAGGCTATTGGTCTGTAACATATGATTCTCACAGAGGGTAATGAACATATTATAATAAAAAGGCCAGATAATTCTGCTAACAATCTTGTGGTTGGAACTTTATATGTAGATGTTCATGGTAAATTAGAAGTCATAAATATTACCAAGAATATTAAATGTATCTTAACTATTCATAGAAGAGGATGGAGAAGTACAAATGATTACAAGGTTGAAGGGTTCGTTACAGATCAATTTGGCAAGAACAGATTTTAAGTAGATGGGCTCTGGAATGAAAAATATAGCATAACAGATCTATAAACCAATTAGGTTGAAGAAGTTTTCTAGGCTGAACCAAAGCCACCTCTTAGTGATAGATAATATGGATTTGGATATTACACTATTAACCTAAACAATATTGATGATCATATGAAGAAAACATTACCTCCTACTGACACAAGAAGGAGACCAGATTAAAGATTCATGGAGGAGGGTAATTATGATATGGCTGCAGAAGAAAAACACAGACTTGAGGAGAAATAGAGAGTAGTCAGAAAGCGAAGAGAAGATAAATAAATTTTACATAAGCCAGCTTACTTTAAGGAAGTTGATGATGAGCATTGTGGAGAAAAAGCTTATGTTTATTTGGGCAATTACTGGGAAAAAAGAAAGAAAATGGATTATGTGGATTGTCCAGACCTTTTTTGAAGATAGCTACAGATCTACTAATATTTTTAATTTTTATAAATTAAAATTTTCATTGACTATTTTCACTTCGGGGTTTTGGGGTTTTGGGGTTTTGGGG